TGATTGATCGATGTGTTTTGTGATTTCCATATGTAATTTCTCCCATAAATAATCTGCTGGAGAAGATAATATTGTTCAGAAGCAAAATATCCATTCAATCAGATTGGATTCCAGGTCTAAATCTATTCGATGTAACAACATTATAACATACAGTGTGTAATCCATTAGATCCCCAGCCTTCTCCCACTTAACCCTGTCCCAGATCCAATTAAAGCGTTACAGTCTCATCTCCACTATTAAGAAGAGATCTTAAGGCTGTGGCACAAACAACACCCTATTCCCTTTATAGTGCACTTCATTCTTTAACAGGGCCAGCCCATAGGGCTCTTGTCAAAAGTAGTGCCATTTGTGACGCATACTATTGGTCTTAACAACCTCTGTGCACGTTGGCAGAGCTAGTCGACATAATCCACTGTAACACAGTGAAGGTATATGACCTTGAATAGGGCGCAAAGCATAAAAGTATCCCGTTGAAAAATCGATTGGACAGAGAATTAATTGCTTTGATGTTATCAGGAAATAATTGTCTTAATCTCAGAGTTCACATTGAGTTAGGTTAGAACATTGCTGTTGTACATTGAGGTATACTGTATAACCAACAGTGGTGTTAATCGAAGAGCGAAGTATTTGGTGATATGATCTTCTCTACTGTTTCTATGGTCCTAAAACGCAATCTAGGAGGGTAAGAGGAGTAGTGAAACACTTATACAAACAACCCTGTTCAATCAAACCCATATGTATTGATAATCTCCAAACCCATATGTATGGATAATCTCCAAACCCATATGTATGGATAATCTCCAAACCCATATGTATGGATAATCTCCAAACCCATATGTATGGATCATCTCCAAACCCATATGTATGGATAATCTCCAAACCCATATGTATGGATAATCTCCAAACCCATATGTATGGATAATCTCCAAACCCATATGTATGGATAATCTCCAAACCCATATGTATGGATAATCTCCAAACCCATATGTATGGATCATCTCCAAACCCATATGTATGGGTAATCTCCAAACCCATATGTATGGATAATCTCCAAACCCATATGTATGGATCATCTCCAAACCCATATGTATGGATCATCTCCAAACCCATATGTATGGATCATCTCCAAACCCATATGTATGGATAATCTCCAAACCCATATGTATGGATCATCTCCAAACCCATATGTATGGATCATCTCCAAACCCATATGTATGGATCATCTCCAAACCCATATGTATGGATAATCTCCAAACCCATATGTATGGATAATCTCCAAACCCAGTTACTGGTTCTACTGCTCACACAGGGTAGAGTTGTGTTGGAGTGTTTAATTTAGCCTTTGGCTAGCCTCAAAGTGCACTTGAGAGAGAGTTCTGTGCCAAGAAAGCAAGTGTGTGTTTATAACATCTAAAAGACAGTACTTTAATAATGCAGCATGGTGAAGCATGTCTCTCTACACTGAGTGTACAAAACATTAGGGAACACCTGCTCTTTCAATGACATAGCCTGACCAGGTGAATCCAGGTGAAAGCTATGATCCCTTTTTGATGCCACCTGTTAAATCCACTCCAATCAGTGTAGATGAACGGCGGGAGACAGCATAGCTGCGGGAAGTAGTTTGGGGGTGCTGGAGGTGGGGTAGGCGACGGTGCTGAAAAATGGTTTTGCCCACGCTACAGACGTCTATATCGGTCCACTAATACAGGACTAGTAAAGGCCCAGTGAACTAGTTTTGTAAAAAAATAATTATATATTGTTTATTTATTGGTTTATTCAGATTTTCCAGGGGGTGCTGCAGCACCTTCAGCAACCCTACTTCCTGCGGCTGTGGGAGGAGACAGGTTAAAGAAGGATTGTTAAGCCTTGAGACAATTGAGACAGGGATTGTGTATGTGTGCCTTTCAGAGGGTGAATGGGCAAGACAAAAGATTTAAGTGCCTTTGAACGGGGTATGGTAGTAGGTACCAGGCACACCGGTTTGAGTGTGTCAAGAACTGCAACGCTGCTGGGTTTTTCGCACTCAACAGTTTCCTGTGTGTATCAAGAATGATCCACCACCCAAAGGACATCCAGGCAACTTGACACAACTGTGGGAAGCGTTGGAGTCAACATGGGCCAGCATCCCTGTGGAACGCTTTTGACACCTAGAGTCCATGCCCCGGTGAATTGAGGCTGTTCTGAAGGTAAAAGGGGGGAGCGAGTGCAACTCAATATTAGGAAGGTGTTCTTAATGTTTTGTACACTCAGTGTATATCTAAAGGCTGTTGAAGCATGCTGTCTATTGATTGGAGTGGTTGAAGTCTCTTTTGGGTATTGGCTTTGTGTGTGTGTGTGTGTGTGTGTGTGTGTGTGTGTGTGTGTGTGTGTGTGTGTGTGTGCTTGCGCGTGTGTGTGTGCGCTTGCGCATGTGTGGGTTGGTGCGTGAGTGCACGTGTGTGTACGTGTACATGTGTGGCGTGCACGAACATGTTGACCAAACAGGAAGAAATGCCGTAACATGACCTGGAAGGCTTTTAAGAGCCAAGTTATGCTTGATCTGAAAATGTGGTCGGTTGGAGGTGCTGTATGGATGGTGTGACGCAATTGTGGAGCCTCTGGAAGCATGCAGAGGCCAAATTGAGCTCCGTACCGCATCGCTGTGCGCCTCTTAAATGTTGTAACAGTGCAGAGGGCTCCGTATAGCTCCGCATTGACATGATTGGTTGACAGGTAGGTGAGGGCAGGAGGTCCTGTATAAACACAAATAAACACAAACTCACTTCCTTGACCACTTCCTTCACAACAGCCAGGGGTGTAAAGTACTTACAGTAAGTAAAAATACTTTAAAGTACTACTTAAGTAGTTTTTGGGGTATCTATACTCTACTATTTATTATTTTTGACAACTTTTACTTTAACTTCACTACATTCCTGAAGAAAATAATGTACTTTTTACTCCATACATTTTCCCTGACACCCAAAAGTACTAGTTACATTTTGAATGCTTAGCAGGACAGGAAAATGGTCCATTCATGCACTTATAAAGAGAACATCCCTGGTCATCCCTACTGCCTCTGATCTGGCGGACTCACTAAACACACATGCTTTGTTTGTAAATTATGTCTGGGTGTTGGAGTGTGCCCCTGGCTATCCATAAATAAATAAAAAACAATAAAATATTTAAAACCAAATACTTTGACTTTTACTCAAGTAGTATTTTACTGTGTGACTTTCTCTTTTACTTTAGTCATTTTCTATTACGGTATCTTTACATTTACTCAAGTATGACAGTTGGGTACTTTTTCCACCACTGACAGCAATTCTGCGCTGCTCGGCGAAGAGCAAGAAGTATAAATGCCCTGACTTCTGCTGAGGCCATATCACCGTAAATGCTGCACGGCCAATGCAGACGTCGGATTGACCAAGGCCAACTTTTTTTTGCTCGAGACTTCTTTAAAAAAAAAAAAAAAAAAAAAAAAAAAAAAAAATACTGCACTTCAGGATATCAAGGACTATTGTTTCTCCATGGCAGTGACTCCACAGATCAGGAGTGTTCTTTTCCTTCTATTCCAGGAATGTCTTAGCTGGCAGTTCCAAGCATAGCACAGGCTATGACTGCTGTGTTTGTTATTGTTATGTTCCACTTCTTGTGCTGGTAGGTACAAGAGCAAATAACTGGTAGATAAATTAAATAACATTATGCGGTAAGATTACCTTTATTGTAAGGTTACCTTTATTATAAAGTGTTTATGAATGACTATCACACAATTTTAACCAACAAATGATAGGTGTTTAAAAAGCATTTATAGTGTCTACATTGATGGCCAATTAACAAATTATAATCGCTTTATATATATAAAGTAATCTTGTTTTAAAGCCTTACCGAGGGGATATTGTTGTTTTAAAGCGTTACTGAGGGGGATATTGTTGTTTTAAAGCGTTACAGAGGGGGATATTGTTGTTGTAAAGCTTTACAGAGGGGGATATTGTTGTTGTAAAGCTTTACAGAGGGGGATATTGTTGTTGTAAAGCCTTGCCGAGGGGGATATTGTTGTTGTAAAGCGTTATTGAGGGGGATATTGTTGCTGTAAAGCGTTACCAAGGGGGATATTGTGTAGGTAAAGAAAGGCCCACTGATAGAGGAGCAGATAAGGATAAAGTTACAGGTTACTGTTTCAGGTCCCTGGCAAGTCATTGTGGCAGTGTTTTGCTATGTGGCAGTATGTTGCTATGTGGCAGTATGTTGCAGCATGTTGCTGTGTTTCTATGTTCAACAGTAGGCTATGACTAGGGTAACTCATCATAAAAGGTACACCTGGATGTGCAATTGAATGTGTCCCAAATGGCAGCCTATTCCCTAATAATGCCCTACCTTTGACCAGAGCCCTATGGTCTCCCTATGGGCCCTGATCAAAAGTAGTGCACTACATAGGGGATAGGGTGCCATTTGGGATACCGTGTTATTGGTCTAGGCGAGGTCTCATGTAGACTGAGTGGGTGAGGAAACATATCCTGCAACCTTGGAGGATTGTAAATCGATTAACTGTAAACATTAAACAAGTGATGCTAGTCATAAAAGCTGGAGATAATGTGAATAATTCATTAAAACAGTACACCGTATTATTTAATTAATGTAATTCTATTCAGTTTCCCAAAAATACTATTTTCACAAACATCCTATTCAGGGACATCTGGCTCAGTGAGTGGGTGTAAGGAAAATAGTCTCCTTTGACTGTTTTCCTGTAGGCTATGGCGCAAGGCCAAAGATACTTCACTGGAAAAATCGTCACGGTTTAACCCACGCAAAAGGTTACTACCGGCCCTTTCGATGGCAATTTACATAACTCCGTATTTATTCCTTTTTACATGACGTCATAAATCCCTCATTGGTCGCTGAAAGTTAACAGGGGCGTGTATTTCCGGTAATCTCATTGTGTATTTGCAGTTTCCCCAGCCACAGAGAGAGAAAAGAAGTCCCCGTGTACATAAGTATACAAACCTGGATATTCAGGCGAATAAATGCCACCAAGTATGACCGAGTGCTCGGCGAATAAACTGATACATGGAGATGTTTGCCACCGGACATCCAACAGTAAGACATCATCTGGAAGGAACGGTTTCGTGAAGAATCATTGCTTGTTCCAACAACCGCAACAGAAGAATCGGCGCCCGAGTGAGGTGAGGCCCACCCGTCAACACTACCGCTACTACCGCTCGATTGGAATAGGGAATGGCCACTAGAATATCCAGCACCAATATAGATTGAATAAACACAGCTCAATAAAATATGAAATCGTTGGAATAACTCGCTACATCTGTAACTTGTATAAACTAGTCTTGAAGTTGAGTCATTGTAACAAGTTTGATAGGGGTGGATGCTTTGTAACGAAATTATTACGCCTCAGAATGTGTTGACTGAATAATAATAATAATTATTTATCGTGTGCCTTTTTGAAAATGTCATGCATCTCAACACACCACAGCATCACCACATAAGTACATCAATACATGAATTACAAACAATAACTACAGCAGGCAACACGTGGTTACAGTTAACGTTATTCAGTTCGTGTGGGGGGGGGGGAGCAGTTATTTATTCAATTGCCATATACTGGTGGGGATGAATGATTTGTGGGCTCAGGCGGTTTTGTGAAGATGGACTCTGTCCGCGGGCTGGTACTCCTGGTTGAGTGGGTGTGTCAGGACGGTGGCATTTCTCGCTCCTGCCCTCACCACTCTCTCCAAGAACAGCGCTTCCATGTTCTTCAGGTTAACGCCACTGATTTTGCTTGACAGTTTTACTATTTTGTGTAGTTGGTTTTGTTTGAGATGGATAGTTGATTGTACCAGGCTTGGAAACAGAAAGTGAGAACACTGAACAATGGATGTGTATAATATGGTTCCTATTCTTTTGACCTGGTATTTATTTAATCTCCTCATGAAATACAGTCGTTGTCCCTTGTTGTGTGTTTGCAGTCCGAGAGAGTTTTGAGTCGATTATAGTTCCCAGATATTTGTATTGCTCAATTGATTCTTTTTGTTCTGAGTCAATATGGATGGGCCCGGTGTCGTCTTTTACGGTTCTGAAGTTTGTCATTTCCTTGTTTGTTTTTTCACATTAAGAATGAGTCTGTTTTCTTTGCAGCATTCGGTGAAGTGTGTTATTACTGTCCTGTAGTAATCCTGGACCCCTCGATTAGACTGAAAAATAGGCTAGGGTTGTTGTCAGATAGCGTAATCATAGGCTGCTATGCTTTCATTCTTAATTGGTTAATAAAGTGAATAGGCTAGGCGAGGCCACATGCTTGACTCATTTTCACCATTGTTTTTATTTTGTTTTCCCAAAAGTCACTTTTAAACTAATCATTTACATGATAGTCACTTTTAAAACTCCAGTCACCCAAGTCATAGACAGTTCTATCTGCTACCGCACAGAGCACCAAGTCTAGGACCAAAAGGCTCCTTATCAGCTTCTACCCCCAAGCCATAAGACTGCTGAACAATTAATCAAATGGCCACCCGGACTATTTACATTGACCCCCCCCCCCCCCCTTGTTTTTACACTGCTGATATTCGCTGTTTATTATCATAGTCACTTTACCCCTACCTACTTGTACAATGACCTCGACTAACCTGTACTCCTGCACATTGACTCTGTACCGGTACCCCCTGTATATAGCCTCGTTATTGTTATTTTATTGTGTAACTTTTATTTGTAATTTTATTTAGTAAATATTTTCTTAACTCTATTTCTTGAACTGCGTTGTTGGTTAAGGGCTTGTAAGTAAGCATTTCACTGTAAGGTCTACACCTGTTGTATTCGGCGCATGTGACAAATACAATTTGATTTGAATTAAACTCATAATTTACATCAATGTCACTCCTATAAACTCCAAACTCCTAGCCAGGTTTTACCTGGTGACATGATGATTTGATTGATTAGGATCACCATTAGCCGACGCCAATGGCGACAGCTAGTTTTACTGGAATCTGACACAACCAAAAATACATTATAGACCAAATACTTTAAAACATTAACATTTAGTGTGCGTGGTGTAGAAGGACTGGTCTCTGTTTACACTGACACTAACATGGAGAATACCAGTCAGAACGGGGAGCCAGGGCAGTTCGTAGTGTAACGTAACTGGAGAGGAGTACTTTGTCTCCCAGGCAGCACACACACATGACACAGCACAAGCCTCCCCCGGGGGATAATGGCTGCTGGCTATAGGAAGTGATCCCTGGGAGGGCTGAATGTCTCTGAGGACAGAAGGAGAGAGGAATGTGAAAGAGCGACACTGTGACTGCTTTGATGTGTTGGGAGCTTGGGGGATTGGACACACACACCTGAGGCTACCGCCGAATTCTATATCGACCCCTTTTCCTATACCCCTCGGGCAATGTAGATCTGAAAGGGTCAGATAGAAACCAAACAACATGGTAATAGCGTATATCTGGAGCTCCATCTAGCCCACTGATAGGCAGAATGACTATTCACTATGCATCTGACCTATACACTGCCTTGAGATATAAACAAGTGCCTTGGGGTCAGGAATTCAGCCTTCGGAAGCATTAGAATTGGAATTTGGAGCATTTGGAATTCAACATAACTGACAGGTTGGCCCCTTTGGCTACCCCTAGAAAGAGTTGTTGCTCTCAACCCAAACGTGATCTTTATTGAGCTAGTGATGCAGATAATGCAACAGTACCCTTCCTACCCTCCACACCCTTGGTTGATAGTACTGGGGTTGTATCACTGCCAATGGCTGGTCATGGCTCACATCAACACCATTATACCAGAAACCCTAGACCCACTCCAATTTGCATGCCGACCCAACAGATCCACAGATGATGCAATCTCTATTGCACTCCACACTGCCCAAAAGGAACACCTACGTGAGAATGCTGTTCATTGACTACAGCTCATCATTCAACACCATAGTGCCCTCAAAGCTCATCACTAAGCTAAGGACCCTGGGACTAAACACCTCCCTCTGCAACTGGATCCTGGACTTCCTGACGGGCCACCCCCAGGTGGTAAGGGTAGGTAACAACACATCTGCCACGCTGATCCTCAACACGGGGGCCCCTCAGGGGTGCCTGCTCAGTCCCCTCCTGTACTCCCTGTTCACCCATGACTGCATGGCCATGCACGACTCCAACACCGTCATTAAGTTTTCAGACGACAAAACAGTGGTAGGCCTGATCACCGACAACGACGAGACATCCTATAGGGATGAGGTCAGAGACCTGGCCGTGTGGTGCCAGGACAACAACCTCTCCCTCAACGTGATCAAGACAAAGGAGATGATTGTGGACTACAGGAAAAAGAAGAGGACCGAGCACGCCCCCATTCTCATCGACGGGGCTGTAGTGGAGCAGGTTGAGAGCTTCAAGTTCCTTGGTTTCCACATCACCAACAAACTATCATGGTCCAAACACACCAAGACAGTCGTGAAGAGGGCACGACAATGCCTATTCCCCCTCAGGAGATTGAAAATATTTGGCATGAGTCCTCAGATCCTCAAAAAGTTATACAGCTGCACCATCGAGAGCATCCTGACTGGTTGCATCACTGCCTGGTATGGCAACTGCTTGGCCTCCGACCGCAAGGCACTACAGAGGGTAGTGCGTACGGCCCAGTACATCACTGGGGCCAAGCTTCCTGCCATCCAGGACCTCTATACCAGGCGGTGTCAGAGGAAGACCCTAAAAATGGTCAAAGACTCTAGCCACCCTAGTCATAGACTGTTCTCACTGCTACCACACGGCAAGCGGTACCGGAGCACCAAGTCTAAGTCCAAAAGGCTTCTTAACAGCTTCTACCCCCAAGCCATAAGACTCCTGAACAATTAATAAAATGTCTACCCGGACTGTTTGCATTCTCCCCCCCACCACCACCCCCTCTATTACGCTGCTACTACTGTCTGTTTACCATCTATGCATAGTCACTTTAACTATACCTACATGTACATACAGTGGGGGAGAAAATTATTTAGTCAGCCACCAATTGTGCAAGTTCTCCCACTTAAAAAGATGAGAGAGGCCTGTAATTTTCATCATAGGTACACGTCAACTATGACAGACAATGAGAGAGAAAAAATCCAGAAAATCACATTGTAGGATTTCTAATGAATTTATTTGCAAATTATGGTGGAAAATAAGTATTTGGTCAATAACAAAAGATTCTCAATACTTTGTTATATACCCTTTGTTGGCAATGACACAGGTCAAACGTTTTCTGTAAGTCTTCACAAGGTTTTCACACACTGTTGCTAGTATTTTGGCCCATTCCTCCATGCAGATCTCCTCTAGAGCAGTGATGTTTTGGGGCTGTCGCTGGGCAACACGGACTTTCAACTCCCTCCAAAGATTTTCTATGGGGTTGAGATCTGGAGACTGGCTAGGCCACTCCAGGACCTTGAAATGCTTCTTACGAAGCCACTCCTTTGTTGCCCGGGCGGTGTGTTTGGGATCATTGTCATGCTGAAAGACCCAGCCATGTTTCATCTTCAATGCCCTTGCTGATGGAAGGAGGTTTTCACTCAAAATCTCACGATACATGGCCCCATTCATTCTTTCCTTTACACGGATCAGTCGTCCTGGTCCCTTTGCAGAAAAACAGCCCCAAAGCATGATGTTTCCACCCCCATGCTTCACAGTAGGTATGGTGTTCTTTGGATGCAACTCAGCATTCTTTGTCCTCCAAACACGACGAGTTGAGTTTTTACCAAAAAGTTATATTTTGGTTTCATCTGACCATATGACATTCTCCCAATCCTCTTCTGGATCATCCAAATGCACTCTAGCAAACTTCAGATGGGCCTGGACATGTACTGGCTTAAGCCGGGGGACACGTCTGGCATTGCAGGATTTGAGTCCCTGGCGGCGTAGTGTGTTACTGATGGTAGGCTTTGTTACTTTGGTCCCAGCTCTCTGCAGGTCATTCACTAGGTCCCCCCGTGTGGTTCTGGGATTTTGTGATCATTTTGACCCCACGGGGTGAGATCTTGCGTGGAGCCCCAGATCGAGGGAGATTATCAGTTGTATGTCTTCCATTTCCTAATAATTGCTCCCACAGTTGATTTCTTCAAACCAAGCTGCTTACCTATTGCAGATTCAGTCTTCCCAGCCTGGTGCAGGTCTACAATTTTGTTTCTGGTGTCCTTTGACAGCTCTTTGGTCTTGGCCATAGTGGAGTTTGGAGTGTGACTGTTTGAGGTTGTGGACAGGTGTCTTTTATACTGATAACAAGTTCAAACAGGTGCCATTAATACAGGTAACGAATGGAGGACAGAGGAGCCTCTTAAAGAAGAAGTTACAGGTCTGTGAGAGCCAGAAATCTTGCTTGTTTTTAGGTGACCAAATACTTATTTTCCACCATAATTTGCAAATAAATTAATTAAAAATCCTACAATGTGATTTTCTGGATTTTTTTCTCAATTTGTCTGTCATAGTTGACGTGTACCTATGATGAAAATTACAGGCCTCTCTCATCTTTTTAAGTGTGAGAACTTGCACAATTGGTGGCTGACTAAATACTTTTTTTCCCCCACTGTATTACCGCAATTACCTGGACTAACCGGTGCTGACTCGGTAACGGTACCCCCTGTATATAGCCTTGCTTCTGTTATTTTTACTGTCATTTTACTGCTTTTATTTTTTACTAATCCAGGTTTACCTAACAGTTATTTATCTTAAAACAGCGTTGTTGGTTAGGTCTTGTAAGTAAGCATTTCACTGTAAGGTCTACACCTGTTTCAGCTCATGTGACAAATAGAATATGATTTGATTTGATTTGCCAAGAGTTCGATAAAGATTAGGTTTAGGAGCGGCAAAAATGTAGCAGCTAGGCATTCATGTGTGGAACTCCTGTCTTTTCATGGAGTAGGAAACACCCTATTAGATCACAATACTGTGGACTACATTTCCAGTTTCATCCCAGTTTCAAAGCAGAGTCTGTGCTCACGTGACAGTTGGTCTTCGGACGGTTGTTAACGTGTAGCTATAAAATGTGTTCAAATATGATCTGTCTGGTTTTAGCAGTCTGTGGTAGTGGATGTAGGGCCTAGGACACTAACTGCTTTCTCTGAAAGGTATATTTGACTTTAAACATTTCTCTGTCTGTGTTTCAGTTAGCTTGAAGGTCTAGTTGTTAGCAGTCAGACCTCAGGGTGTATGTGGGTTAGTGGTGTAGTTTAGAGGGCTATTTCCTCATGCTCGTTCCTAATGGGAGAATGACCCTGGGAGCCAGTTTGACTAGTTCTGAGCTCCGTTGAGCACGTAGTCCACACACACACACACACACACACACACACACACACACCACAAAGGTATTTCAGAGAGGTGCATGACTGGGTCACATGTGGTTGCTAAGCAGCCAGGGTTTAATGAGCGACCAGGCTGACTGACTTTAGGTCATTTGATTTCAGAGTTTAGTTTTGAGGACAATAAGCCACAGTTCAGCTCAGCCTCAATTAAAACCTGTGGATAGCCCTCTGAGCCCAGGGTCGACATGAGGTGATCTGGCTTTACAGGAAGGATCAACAACACTCAGTCACTGTATTGAGGGGTCTGTTTTGTCCCTCTGTTTTTGAATTAAGGATCTAAGGTGTAGGCCAATTTTTTTTAAATCTCAAGAACAGAAGGATGACTACGTCTATTTCTTCTCAAGTTTCCCTCTTAGTGTTTTGTCTATAAAGACGTCTACACTGAGTGGACAAAACTTTAAGGACACCTGCTCTTTCCATGACATACTGACCAGGTGAATCCAGGTGAAAGCTATGATCCCTTATTGATGTCACTTGTTAAATCCACTTCAATCAGTGTAGATGAAGGGGAGGAGACAGGTTAAAGAAGGATTTTTAAGCCTTGAGACAATTGAGACATGGATTGTGTATGTGTGCCATTCAGAGGGTGAATGGGCAAGACAAAAGATTTCAGTGCCTTTGAACAGGGTATGGTAGTAGGTGCCAGGCGCACCGGTTTGTGTCAAAAAGTGCACCGCTGCTGGGTTTTTCACGCTCAACAGTTTCCTGTGTGTATCAAAAATGGTCCACCACCCAAAGGACATCCAGCCAACTTGACACAACTGTGGGAAGCATTGGAGTCAACTTGGGCCAGCATCCCTGTGTGAAATGCTTTCGAAACCTTGTAGAGTCCACGCCCCGACGAATTGAGGCTGTTCTGAGGGCAAAAGGGGACGGTGCCACTCAATATTACTCAGTGTAAAGGCTCCATGGGCATATATAATTAGTTATCAGACACTGTTGATCTGCATACCAAGTTAAACACCGTTTCATGTTCACTCTTTCACAAATCACTGACGGAGCGAGCGTGGAACCGAAGGTGTTTATCCTTCTGTGGTTTTTGGCTGCACTGCAGGGAGAGCGTTCTTAGCACTGGGCTGAAAGTGTTCTGCATGTTTCTTTAGAGTAGACAGATTAGGCCTGACTAAAGTAATCCATGATCCATGAGATCCAGTGTGTCTGCTGAAAGGGCTTAAGCTTCTAGATCTGTGTTTATATGTAGATTACAGTTTAACACTTCTGTGATCAAAGGCTAATTCATTCACTCAAATGCCATTCGTTAATAATTTTTCTCACCTTGCGTGTGGCCCATGGGGCAGACTGCAACGGTGCAACCACCATTAGACCTTTCTGCAGACACCACGGGTTAACGTCAGGACGGACTAGGCTACCCAGTAAACGGTGGTTCTAATGCTCCCTGTTTTGCATGACCAATATAGCATTTTAAAGATCAACACCAAATCCCTTCCAGTCAGCGACACAACCATCTTCTGTTTTGTCCCTGTATTTTATTCTTCTCCAGAACAACCATGTTGTGCGTAACGCCAGCCTGTACAGCAAACCGTTTGTGGAGCAGTTTGAGGAGACTCCTCTGCTTGTGGCTGTCCTCACCTACATGGGCTATGGGATCCTCACCATCTTCGGGTACCTGCGGGACTTCCTCCGGGACTGGGGCATGGAGAAGTGCCATGTGGCCAGAGAGCGGGATGAGCAGAAGGTAAGAGATACAGTCATTCCTTTTTCCTTGTAGGCTATTTGCTTTTTTCTCTCTAGCTCCTGTCTTGGATGTTTCCTTTTGCGAAAGAGCAGACAGAAGGTATGTTAAGCCTCAGATATTTGTTTTCGACAACAGATCTAGATTACGGATTATCGGATTACCCCACCCCTGAATCGGATTACCCCACCCCTGAATCGGATTACCCCACCCCTGAATCGGATTACCCCACCCCTGAATCCTTTTCTTTAACCATTAAGGGTTTGGAGAAATAGCCAACCCTGTTACGGGTTAGGGAAAACTTCTGCCTACCTAGTCCTTCATTGCCATTCATTCATTGCTTCTACTCTAAAATGCCTCTAAACGGTTTTATGATGTACGTTATTACAGTGCTAATATTTACTCTGGCGCTGTGTGAATCGGGTGTGTCTGAAATGTCACTGAACGATACACACGTGTAACATGGGAAGGTGTGAAAGTGATGACTCGACAGATTCCACTACAGCTTTAGTGTGTTCTAAACCTGTTCTTTGTAAACCACAATGCTCAGTGCAACCGTTATGCCAAACTAGTTGTCCTAAAGCTGTAGAAGATACACACCTATGCCTGAGAAGATTTTGCGTTGTCTTTTTAACGCAGTCTTTCAAGCAACAGTTAGTGCACAGCAAATGCTTTTAACGCTTTACTATTGAACAGTTCAGTTAAACGATTTCTCTGAAAGCTTGGGAGAATAACACACCTGTGTGTTTGCATCGATTCAGACCGTGTTATTGATTCCAACAATGACTGACAATTCTCTCTCGCTCTCTGTCTCTCTCTGTCCCTGTGTGTGTGTGTGTGTGTGTGTGTGTGTGTGTGTGTGTGTGTGTGTGTGTGTGTGTGTGTGTGTGTGTGTGTGTGTGTGTGTGTGTGTGTGTGTGTGTGTGTGTGTGTGTGTGTGTGTGTGTGTGTGTGTGTGTGTGTGTGTGTGTGTGTGTGTGTTCTAGGACTTTGTTCCACTGTACCAGGACTTTGAGAACTTCTACACCCGGAATCTATACATGCGTATCCGTGACAACTGGAACAGGCCGATCTGCAGTGTCCCAGGAGCCAAGATGGACCTGTTGGAGAGGGCCACCAAAGACTACAACTGGACCTTCGAGTGAGTGGCCCAGCCTAACTATAATAACCCTAACAGGGCTTCTAGTGTGTACATGTGTGGCTACTAGAGCATTTTATTTGGCACCGTACCCGTTGGACCTAGCCCTGGACTATCATGGCTATTACAGGGAGTAGCTGTGTGTGACCTACTGTCATGTGAATTTCTATCTCTAATTCAACCTAAGCTTGAATCATTACCAGAGGTTGTAAGGCTCTGGTTTTAATCATCAATGATTCAAGGTCCACAACCACGAAGAAGGATTTTCTGTATGTTTATTCATGGAGAGCTCTGGGGCCAAAGACCCAAACATACGATTTTATACCTCCTGAACTTGACTCCTCCCACCTTTTAGGTGGGTTTTCTAAACAGTTTCCGCCTTCCCCCTTGAATGTTTAGTACCGCCCCCTCTGTTAGTGGTTTGACACTTCATGATAATTCTAACATTTATACTGTATTTGGGGTGAAATCCTTTAGTCATTATTCTTAAAATCCAAATTAATCTAACACCTACCTATGTCATAGAAGGCTGTATCATGCCCCCTCTATCACCTACAGGTCATTGTCCTACTTACAATGATAAGAGAGGGAAGTGTGTCTGGGGACGGACGTGATGAATAGAAACCAACTGACAGTATCTATCATGTGGCATTGTGTGGTAATGGTTGACCTCATTCACTCTTAGCTAGGCCTGGTATGTGATTGTGTTAGCTGCTTTCACAACTACGTGTAAGTGTTAGGGAACCCGTCAAGACCAAGTTTAAAAACAAAACCTGATATTATTGTCAACACGATAGCTACTTTTGCTGCTTGTCAAAAATCACAAGTACAGTATAAAACAAAGAAACAGATGCCCTCGTTTGGTGTGTTTGTCATTGTCACAAGGTTTTAAAATTCAGAACTAACTTCCTCCACCACCACAACTGTCTAGCACCTACTTAGTGAGTAGTTCTGTCTCGTCAGAGTTGCTAAAAGTTGTCTTTGTACCCAGACACACAGGCAAGGTGGTGAAAGACGTGATCAACATGGGTTCATATAACTACCTGGGCTTTGCTGAGAACACTGGGAGGTGTGCCGACGCTGCCACAGAGTCTACACACAAGTACGGCGTTGGAGTGGGCAGCACCCGCTATGAGATGGGTAAGACTGGGTTATAATAACCTTCTTGTAGGGACAATGCTTTAAAACACTCATATCTGTGGACCTCTGTAGCTCAGGTAGAGCATGGCGCTTGCAACGCCAGGATAGTGTGTTCGATTCCCGGGACCACCTGTACCTAAAATGTATGCACGCATGACTGTGAGTCGTTTGGATAAAAGTATCTTCTAAATGACATATGTTATCTAGAACAAAGCACTGATACAAAACGTTGATAAAATATGCATCGCAGACAACCCTCTGGGGACAAACTGGCCCACTCATTCTGTTGTTGGTCTTGTTTGTTGCCGTCTTCTTAGTGGTTTTGCCATTTTTAAGGAAACAAAAGCCAGGTCCTCTGTTATCATGTACCCCACAATGACAGAGAACAGAATATAATGACATGTTGGACATAACATTTTAGTCAAGTCCTCCTCCATGCATTGTTTATGTCACGCCCCTATTATGTGCAGGAAGCTGTTGTTTTGAGGTAGTGCATCCTTGTACTTACATGGACCATGTTGTTGAGTTATTGTATTATAGTATGACCTGGACAGTTGTATTGAGTTAAAAAGCATCTTTGTTTCTACATGGATAGTGATGTTGACTTAGAGCATCACTGTAACTGATATGGATACTAGTGAATTTTAGTTAGTACATCTTTATTGACGTCATGCACACTTTATGTTGACATAAACACTTGTTAGAGTAAGACATCATTTTATTTACATGTTCCTTCCTGTTCCTGCTGTATCCAGGTAACCTGGACCTCCATGAGGAGTTGGAACAGCTGGTTGCTAGGTTTCTGGGGGTGGAGTCATCCATGGCGTTTGGGATGGGCTTCGCTACCAACTCCATGAACATTCCGGCTCTGGCTGGAAAGGTAGGGAGGAAAAAATATATTTCTCACATGCTTCGTAAACAACAGGTGTAGACTAACAGTTAAATGGTTACTTACAGGTCCTTTTCCAACAATGCAGAGTTAAAGATAAGATAACAATTTGAAATAAAAACATAGATATCGTGACACAAGGAATAAATACAGAGTGAATAATGAATAACAATATTGAGAGCAAATAACATGAGTAGAAAATAACATGGCTATATACAGGGAGTACCAGTACTGAGTCGACGTGCAGGGGTATAATATAATATAATAATAATAATATGCCATTTAGCAGACGCTTTTATCCAAAGCGACTTAGTCATGCGTGCATACATTTTTGTGTATGGGTGGTCCCGGGGATCGAACCCACTACCTTGGCGTTACAAGCGCCATGCTCTACCAGCTGAGCTACAAGGGGTAGCTACGTACTGTACAGATAGGTAGGGATAAAGTGACTAGGCAACAGGATGGATAATAGATGGTAGCAGCAGCATATGTGATGAGTGTGTGAGTATGGCATCAGTATTCGTGTGTGTGTGTGTTGGGGTGTCAGTGTAAGTATGTGTGTGGGTAGAGTCCAGTGTGTGTGCATCAAGGTAGTGAAAAAAAGGTCAATGCAGGTAGTCCGGGTGGCCATTTGATGAGCTATTTAGCAGCCTTGTGGCTTGGAGATAGAAGCTGTTCAGGGTCCTGTTGGTTCCGGACTTGGTGCATCGGTACCGCTTGCTCTGTGGTACTACAGAGAACAGTCTGTGGCTAGGTTGGCTGGAGTCCTTGACAATTTTTAGGGCCTTCGTCTGACACCGCCTGGTATAAAGGTCCTGGATGGCAGGGAGCTCGGCCCCAGTGATGTACTGGGGGTACCCACTAGAAGTTGACACGGGAACAGGACTCTTGCGGGTCCCACGGGATTCTGGCAGGAATGGGAGTGAAGTTCTAGAGTGAAGTTCTGGGACATGACGGGACAGGATCAACTGTCCACAGGAATGGGCAGTGCAGGAATAGTTATAAACAGAGTTTTGTTTTAGTGTGTGGAACATTCCATGAAAAAAACGACTGTGTGGGCTAGGCCTCTATATACTATAATATATGCTAGGCCTCTATATACTATAATATATGCTAGGCCTCTATATACTATAATATATGCTAGGCCTCTATATACTATAATATATGCTAGGCCTCTATATACTATAATATATGCTAGGCCTCTATATACTATAATATATGCTAGGCCTCTATATACTATAATATATGCTAGGCCTCTATATACTATAATATATGCTAGGCCTCTATATACTATAATATATGCTAGGCCTCTATATACTATAATATATGCTAGGCCTCTATATACTATAATATATGCTAGTCCTCTATATACTATATATGCTAGGCCTATATACTATAATATGCTAGGCCTCTATATACTATAATATATGCTAGGCCTCTATATACTATAATATATGCTAGGCCTCTATATACTATAATATATGCTAGGCCTATATATACTATAATATAGTTGACTTAATAAAAGGTCATTTCCCCCTCCCCTTTAAGTCGGCTCACTCTCGCGCCTCGCTCCAGTTGTAGCCAGTCACCAGGCTACCTCAGATGCCAACCTACGTCTGTAGGCTAAGTGATGAAGCATTCAACAGAGGAATTGCAACTTTGCAGCCAAGGACCCATCACTAACATTAACATTAGAGCCAAGGAAAGAGCGTTTTGGCTACGTTTGATGGAGTTGTCTTTGACAATAAAGGAACCAGTACATGGCTTGTAAAAAAATGCTGCGGTTTAATCAAATAGGCCACCACCCGGAGAGGGGGACAAGTGGCCTGACGCGGCATAGCTGCTCTACTCCCAACAACTTTACCCTCAAGCCCAATTGTTTACGTATTTAACTAAACCCGTGCCGTATTGACTTATGCAGTACTGCCACTCAGGTTTTAGAATTGTTTTATGTTCATGATGTAAATGTTAATGTGTTGTAAATGTTCCTATGTGCTGAGCTGTAGGCTACAGATGTATGTATGTGCTCAGCTGTAGGCTACAGATGTATGTGCTGAGCTGTAGGCTACAGATGTATGTGCTCAGCTGTAGGCTACAGATGTATGTGCTCAGCTGTAGGCTACATATGTATGTGCTCAGCTGTAGGCGACAGATTTATGTGCTCAGCTGTAGGCTACAGATTTATGTGCTCAGCTGTAGGCTACAAATGTATGCCGGTGCTGAGCTGTAGGCTACAGATGTATGCCGGTGCTGAGCTGTAGGCTACAGATGTATGCCGGTGCTGAGCTGTAGGCTACAGATGTATGCCGGTGCTGAGCTGACCATCCTGCTGGGGTCTCTGTCCTCATCCTCCAGCCTTAATCCAGCTACATTTAGGTATTTTAGAATACGCTCTCATCCAGAGCGACTAAAGGCCTACAGTCAGTGCATTTAACTAAGATAGGTAAGACCACCACATATCACAGTCCCATATTGCATTACTGAAATTATTTTCAAGACTTCCTAATCAAACACAATAGCCTACATATTTCTGCGCGCAAAAATGAGCACGGGACGGGAGTGATTGTTATCGGGAAGGGACAGGAAAGGTCCGGGGTTATGGAACTGTTGCTGGATCAGGACAGTACAGGAACTATTTTTTACAAGACAGGAATTAATGTTCTCTCCTGTGTCAACCTCTAGTACGGGCTATCTTCTGTAGCGGCTTGCGGTCGGATGCCAAGTAGTTGCCAGACTGTGTTGTTGTGTGTGGACCATAATAATTCCTTATTGATGTGGACACAGAGGAACCGGAAGCTCTAGACCTGCGCCACTACAGCCCCGTCGATTTAAATGGGGGGCGTGCTCTGCCCTCCGTTTCCTGTAGTCCAATCAGCTCGTTTGTCTTGCTGACGTTGAGGGACAGGTTGTTGTCATGGCACCAGACTCTCTGACCTTCTCCCTATAGGCTGTCTCATCGTCATTGGTGATCAAACTTAATGATGGTGTTGGAGTCGTGCGAGGCCATGGGTGAACAGGGAGTACAGGAGGGGACTAAGCACGCACCCCTGAGGGGCCCCGTGTTGAGGTTCAGCGGGGCGGATGTGTTGTTACCTACGCTCACCACCTGGGGGCGGCCTGTCAGGAAGTCCAGGATCCAGTTGCAGAGGGAGGTGTTCAGTCCCAGGGTCCTTAGCTTAGTGATGAGCATGGAGGGCACTATGGTGTTGAACACTGAGCTGTATCAATGAACAGCATTCTCACGTAGGTGTTCCTCTTGTCCAGGTGGGAAAGGGCAGTATGGAGTGCAATAGAGATTGAGTCATCTGTGGATTTGTTGGGGCGGTATGTGAATTGGAGTGGTCTAGGGTGTCTGGGATGATGGTCCTGCTCTCGCTACATATATTTCTCACTCACTCACTCCACAAACATTCCTGCTCTTGCTGGCAAGGTAGGAATGCCTCGCTATCTCTCTCTCACTTTTATCTCTCTAACTATGTCTGTCTCTCTCTCTCTGTGTCTCTCATCTCTGTTCTCTCTCTCTTTATTATCTCTCGTTCTCTCTCCCTCTCTTATCTCTCTTATCTCTCTTTCTCTCTCACTTTCTGTAAGTCAATGAACTGAAGTAACCTCTCCTTCCCTGAAATGATCGCTGGTGGGCACACAGCGTTTTTCCTCTGCAAGGTTTTTATTCACCAGTTGTACATTGGTCTTAACCAGTTGAATGATAGGGCAACATTTTGATTTCCGCCTAAATAGACTTACCAAAACGTAAAGATTTTTAATGAGATGGCCATAAACAATAACTGGTTATGTTGCATAGTTTTAGAAAGGTCTGGAACTCAACTTTCTGGTACAAATAGTTATACATTGCTGAGGTGTACTCACTTGAGGACACAAGCTCAAGTACATAGTACATATATTATGAAAATATGAAAAATCATAGTTCTTTCCTATTCAACAAAAGTGCGGCAATGGGGCTTGAAATGACTGAAATGCTTTCTAATTATAGTAACAATGAAATGATAAACAAATTCATAACTGTACAATAAATATGATAATACTTAGTGATAAAACAATATTGGCACTATTTCATATAACTGTCGACAGAGAATTTTCTCCTAAACGTCCACTGAGCAGCACAGAAACACCATTCCATGTTTGCAGACTCGTTACTTCATCTTTAAGCACGAAGTGATTTTGTTTCAAGAGAAAGTGATCTTGTTTCAATTCATTGAAATTATTTAGTTGAGAGGTCTAAATCCGGCCGAAAATATTACACCGAGATGAAACCACAATGGCTGGATTGGTTTGACTGTCACGTTTATTTGCCCTTTCTGAAGCTGGGCTCGCTCGCTCAGAGGAAGAGATAATCGATTCTTTGTCTGGATAGGCCAAAAAAATGTGACACGTCACTCCTTGGAAACGGAGAGCAGACAGATGTTTTTTTTGGCATTATAAGGCAAGGGACCCTACAGCATTCACAGAGTGCTTTGTACACCAAAATGTCAGTCGGAACCAGTCCAGAACCACTCAAAGTCCCTCTAGTTTCCTCAATGTGTTCTCAAAACATTGAGAGACGGGTCGTCAATCGTCATGATGCCTGAAAGGCCTTTAGCTACTAGGATAGGAAGCTCTCTCTCTCACACTCCCTCTCTCTCTGCCTCTTTCTGCCCCCCCACTCTCTTCCTGCCTCTCTCTCTCTCTCCGTCCCCCTCTCTCTCCTACTGCCCCCTCTCTCTCTCTTTCTCCTACTGCCCCTCTCTCTCTCCTACTGTCCCTCTCTCTCTCCTACTGCCCCTCTCTCTCCTACCGCCCCTCTCTCTCTCCTACTGTCCCCTCTCTCTCTCCTACTGCCCCTCTCTCTCCTACCGCCCCTCTCTCTCTCCTACTGTCCCTCTCTCTCTCCTACTGCCCCTCTCTCTCCTACCCGCCCCTCTCTCTCTCCTACTGCCCCTCTCTCTCTCCTACTGCCCCTCTCTCTCCTACCGCCCCTCTCTCTCTCCTACTGCCCCTCTCTCTCTCCTACTGCCCCTCTCTCTCTCTCTCTCCTACTGCGCCTCTCTCTCTCTCCTACCGCCCCTCTCTCTCTCCTACTGTCCCTCTCTCCTACTGCCACTCTTTCTCTCCTACTGCCCCTCTCTCTCTGTCCCTCTCTCTCTCCTACTGCCCCTCTCTCTCTGTCCCTCTCTCTCTCCTACTGCCCCCTGCCCCTCTCTCTCGTCCCTCTCTCTCTCTACTGCCCCCTCTTCTCTCTGTCCTCTCTCTCTCCTACTGCCCCTCTCTCTCTCTCCGTCCCTCGTTCTCTCTCCTACTGCCCCTCTCTCTCTCCTACTGCCCCTCTCTCTCTCCTACTGTCCCTCTCTCTCTCCTACTGCCCCTCTCTCTCTCCTACTGCCCCTCTCTCTCTCCTACTGCCCCTCTCTCTCTCTCTCTCCTACTGCGCCTCTCTCTCTCCTACTGCCCCTCTCTCTCTCCTACTGTCCCTCTCTATCTCCTCCCCTCTCTCTCCTACTGCCCCTCTCTCTCTCCTACCGCCCCTCTCTCTCTCCTACTGTCCCTCTCTCCTACTGCCACTCTTTCTCTCCTACTGCCCCCTCTCTCTCTGTCCCTCTCTCTTCTCCTACTGCCCCTCTCTCTCTGTCCCTCCTATCCTCTCCTATCTGTCCTCTCTTCTCCTAACTGCCCCTCTCTCTCCGTCCCTCTCTCTCTCCTACTGCCCCCCTCTTTCTCTCTGTCCCTCTCTCTCCTACTGCCCCTCTCTCTCTCTCCGTCCCTCGTTCTCTCCTACTGCGCCTCTCTCTCTCTCCTACTGCCCCTCTCTCTCTCCTACTGTCCCTCTCTATCTCCTCCCCTCTCTCTCCTACTGCCTCTCTCTCTCTCCTACTGCCCCTCTCTCTCTCCTACTGCCCCTCTCTCTCTCCTACTGCCCCCTCTCTCTCTCTCTCTCCTACTGCCCCTCTCTCTCTCCTACTGCCCCTCTCTCTCTCCTACTGCCCCTCTCTCTCTCCTACTGCCCCTCTCTCTCTCTCCTACTCGCTCTGACTCATTAGAACCCTTTACTTCTCCTCTTCATAAGTTCAGTTTTGACAAAAAGTGAAATAACATTAATTTGACTGGCAAGACGCATGGTCATCCTCGTGAGAGTAGTGAACACATTTATTCTCTTGACAGACAGGCAAAGGGCCAGTCACATGTTCCTGACAGATCATGAGTTCTTTAAACCCAGTCAGTGTTTATTTTTTCCTCCTCTCCTCGCTTCTTCTTGTAAATTGCGTCATTGCGTAATGTGCTCAGTCATTCAATCACTAGACGATTAAATTGTGTAACTAAGCAACGGGTGTGGGGTTTCGTTGTGTGATGGCCGAGGTGTTATTGACTGTGAGACTGTGTCTGTGACCCCTTCAGGGAAACTGTCTTGTATACCACTTTAGTGCATCAGTGTTGTGTATTGCTATGTAAGTAAATGATATTATTTTGGTGTAATTCCAGGGCTGTTTGATCCTGAGTGATGAGTTAAACCATGCCTCTTTGGTGCTGGGTGCTCGGCTGTCTGGAGCCATCATCAGAGTCTTCAAACACAACAGTGAGTATCGGAAACTAGCGTCATGATCACCATCTGTCTTACCTCAGGCAGCTCTCTACAGTAAACTTACAGATCACAATGGGACCTAACCTGCTCCATACAATCAACACAACACTAAAGACCAACTGTCTTTCATTAGAAGCTCTACTCTCTGTGTGAAGCTGTTTGTTTACCGTACGTTAGAGGCTGAGCACACGTAGGCCATGGCACCATCCATCCCCAGCCACCAATCTACTGTTCCTCCCTTTCTAATAAGACATGACTCTGTAGTTAGGTGTGTCAGGTAATTATACAAATACTGATATTCTACATCTTTCATGCCAGTGTTTTAGTTTTCCCTCATTGCTCCTCCTGACAGACAGGGGAGATATAAAGCATGAACTCTGTTAGCCAGCCATCTTGTTGTTGTCTTGCTTTGGGATACAACATCTAAACATTCAGGTACGCAGGCTGCATTATTCAGACCCTTTCTATGTTCTGTCTGTCTCTAGATATGGTGAGTCTGGAGAAGCTGTTGAGAGACGCCATAGTCCACGGCCAGCCCAGAACACACAGGCCCTGGAAGAAGATCCTCATTCTGGTCGAAGGAATATACAGGTAGTGTATCTTTTTTTTTTTAGAAGTGTCATATGTACAGCTATCATCTGCATTTTTATTCTGCATTTCTATTGAACTTTCATTAATGAGTTCAATAAATAATGGGAATAACCCCAGCTGAATCAGATGCTGACGATACATGTAAGAAAACCTCTCTGCAGACTCCGCACGGTCTAGTCATACAGTTAGGAACTCTTTTTACTGGGTGTAGCTGGACGTCGACTGAATCATTTACTAGTATTTTGCATTTTATACAAATAATAATAAAATAAAAATAGTGTGACTTGAGTTATTTTTTAAGGTACTTACTGTAAAAGTCAAGTCAACCAATCCATAATGATCAGTATGGTTCTTGGTAAAGCTGCCTCTCCTTAATCAATATAGTTCACTAATGTGTCGTTAAAAATGGTCTGACACACCCTTGGGGATCTAGAGAAACACAGTCATTGACTTCTGACTGCAAATAAAGATCAAGAAGAAAGATGCACTTTGCTTGCATTGTTTTAGATTACACATAGGGTGACTTATTCACCTGTCTTAGTACGGGTGTGTGTTCATTTTCCAGACACAACAGTTGATCCACAGAATGTTTATTGTGTGTGTGTGTGTGTGTGTGTGTGTGTGTGTGTGTGTGTGTGTGTGTGTGTGTTTGTGTGCTGTGTGTACGTGTTCATGTCGTGTGTTTCTCTCTCTGTCTCTCCTCCCTCCACATCTCACCCTTCTCCAGTATGGAGGGATCCATTGTGCGTCTGCCTGAGGTGATAGCCCTGAAGAAGCACTACAAGGCCTTTCTCTATCTGGATGAGGCTCACAGCATCGGGGCACTAGGACCTCACGGTGGAGGGGTGGTCGACTACTTTGGTCTGGACCCCAAAGATGTTGACATCATGATGGGAACGTTCACTAAGAGCTTTGGTGCTGCTGGAGGGTACATCGGAGGAAAGAGTGTGAGTCGGCTGTCTGACAGAGGTCAGGGGTCAGAGGTTAGGGGAGGTCATGATGGGGGTGTTTACCAAGAGCTTTAATGCTGCTGTAGGATAGATTGGAAGAAAGAGTGTGAGTCGGCTGTCTCCAAAGGCATTCCATTAACTGGCTGAATAATGGACTAGGAAGTAGGGCTAAGTGACTCTCCAAAATATCTGGGATTAGGATAAATGTTCTTGGCAGGATGCCAAGACCTCTGAAGCAGCACTCGGTGCTGGAAACACCAAAACATTCAGTTGCAACAGAGCTATGTGCAGTGGTCCACCCTTCTAACACTGAAACTGCCTTGGGTGTTTCTCACATAGATCATCTCCACTGACATGAGTCATGACATCAAGTATATTGCCAGGTCGCAGTTGTAAATGAGAACTTGTTCTCAACTGGTTTACCTGGTTAAATAAAGGTGAAATAAATAAATAAATAAAAATAAATATTATGAGTGGAAGCCTTTAATATATTCGGGGATGGTTACTGATACAGTTTACTGAAAAAGTTTCGGTGTGGTGGTTTCTTCATCAACAGGACAACCCGGTTTCATAATTGCCCAATGATATGAGACATTTCCCACAGTACTTACTGAAAACAGGTTTCCATGGCTCAGTTGGACCATGTTGTTTGATTTCAGAATAGATCCCATACTGGCTTCATTCTTTCTGTGTGTTATATTAGAATGACAATGGTCTCTTCTGTCCCCCATAGGAGTTGATAGACTACCTGCGGTCCCACTCCCACAGTGCTATCTACGCCACCTCCATGTCCCCTCCCGTGTCCCAACAGATCATCACTTCTATGAAGATTATCATGGGGGAGGACGGCACTACTCTGGGTGAGTTTACCCAGCAAGCCTCCCTCAGCTGGGAGGGACCACACTGTGTTGCTGAATGAGAACTAGTTAGTATCTCAAATCCTGCCATCAGTTACATTTGACCCCTTTTTATATGTACACTGAACAAAAATATTAACGCAACATGTAAAGTGCTGGTCCCATGTTACATGAGCTGAAATAGAAGATCTCCGAAATTTCTCTCAAATGTTGTGCACAAATTTGTTTACATCCATGTTAGTGAGCATTTCTCCTTTGCCAAGATAATCCATCCACCTGACAGGTGTGGCATATCAAGAAGCTGACTAAACAGCATGATCATTACACAGGTGCACCTTGTGCTGGGGACAATAAAAGGCCACTCTAAAATGTGCAGTTTTGTCACACAACACAATGCCACAGATGTCTCAAGTTTTGAGGGAGTGTGCAATTGGCATGCTGACTGCCAGAGCTGTTTCCAGAGAATGTAATGTTAATTTCTCCACCATAAGCCACCTCCAACGTCGTTTTAGAGAATTTGGCAGTACATCCAACAGGCCTCACAACCCGCAGACCACGTGTAACCACGCCAGCCCAGGACCTCCACATCCGGCTTCTTCACCTGCGGGGGAGGGGGGGTGCTGAGGAGTATTTCTGTCTGTAATAAAGCCCTTTTGTGCGGGAAAAACTCATTCTGATTGGCTGGGCCTGGCTCCCCAGTGGGTGGGCCTATGCCCTCCCAGGCACACCCATGGCTGTGCCCCTGCCCAGTCATGTGAAATCCATAGATTAGGGCCTAATTAATTTATTTCAATTGACTGATTTCATTATATGAACTGTAACTCAGCTCCTGGAGAGCTATAGAGTGTTACTATCTGGGTAGGTAGTTCTCTGGTTATAGGTTACTATCTGGTTAGGTAGTTCTCTGGTTATAGGTTACTATCTGGTTAGGTAGTTCTCTGGTTATAGGTTACTGTCTGGTTAGGTAGTTCTCTGGTTATAGGTTACTATCTGGGTAGGTAGTTCTCTGGTTATAGGTTACTATCTGGTTAGGTAGTTCTCTGGTTATAGGTTACTGTCTGGTTAGGTAGTTCTCTGGTTATAGGTTACTATCTGGGTAGGTAGTTCTCTGGTTATAGGTTACTGTCTGGGTAGGTAGTTCTCTGGTTATAGGTTACTATCTGGTTAGGTAGTTCTCTGGTTATAGGTTACTGTCTGGGTAGGTAGTTCTCTGGTTATAGGTTACTATCTGGGTAGGTAGTTCTCTGGTTATAGGTTACTATCTGGTTAGGTAGTTCTCTGGTTATAGGTTACTATCTGGTTAGGTAGTTCTCTGGTTATAGGTTACTATCTGGTTAGGTAGTTCTCTGGTTATAGGTTACTGTCTGGGTAGGTAGTTCTCTGGTTATAGGTTACTGTCTGGGTAGGTAGTTCTCTGGTTATAGGTTACTATCTGGGTAGGTAGTTCTCTGGTTATAGGTTACTGTCTGGGTAGGTAGTTCTCTGGTTATAGGTTACTATCTGGTTAGGTAGTTCTCTGATTATAGGTTACTATCTGGTTAGGTAGTTCTCTGGTTATAGGTTACTGTCTGGTTAGGTAGTTCTCTGGTTATAGGTTACTATCTGGTTAGGTAGTTCTCTGGTTATAGGTTACTGTCTGGTTAGGTAGTTCTCTGGTTATAGGTTACTGTCTGGGTAGGTAGTTCTCTGGTTATAGGTTACTATCTGGGTAGGTAGTTCTCTGGTTATAGGTTACTATCTGGTTAGGTAGTTCTCTGGTTATAGGTTACTATCTGGTTAGGTAGTTCTCTGGTTATAGGTTACTATCTGGTTAGGTAGTTCTCTGGTTATAGGTTACTGTCTGGGTAGGTAGTTCTCTGGTTATAGGTTACTATCTGGATAGGTAGTTCTCTGGTTATAGGTTACTATCTGGTTAGGTAGTTCTCTGGTTATAGGTTACTATCTGGTTAGGTAGTTCTCTGGTTATAGGTTACTATCTGGTTAGGTAGTTCTCTGGTTATAGGTTACTATCTGGTTAGGTAGTTCTCTGATTATAGGTTACTATCTGGTTAGGTAGTTCTCTGGTTATAGGTTACTGTCTGGTTAGGTAGTTCTCTGGTTATAGGTTACTGTCTGGTTAGGTAGTTCTCTGGTTATAGGTTACTATCTGGTTAGGTAGTTCTCTGGTTATAGGTTACTGTCTGGTTAGGTAGTTCTCTGGTTATAGGTTACTATCTGGTTAGGTAGTTCTCTGGTTATAGGTTACTGTCTGGTTAGGTAGTTCTCTGGTTATAGGTTACTATCTGGTTAGGTAGTTCTCTGGTTATAGGTTACTGTCTGGTTAGGTAGTTCTCTGGTTATAGGTTACTATCTGGTTAGGTAGTTCTCTGGTCCTGGAGAGCTATAATGGTATATGCGTTTGTTAAAAACCCCCACTGAAAAACATGATTCAGTCATCAATACTTAATCATCAAGAGCTTCCTTCATGTGTTGAATCTGGGCCAAAGGATTGATTACTGCTATACACAAGGTTTTTACTTGCATTAGGTGGTGGCTGGCACCACACAGTGTCATTACCACCAGTAACTGCAAGGTGGCAGTACAGACCTGGAAAGCATTACTGACCTTTCACTGACTCTATTGAAACTTGCTCACAGGAAAACTGAAGAAAAGCAGAATTTACATTTGATAGAAATATGCACTTAAAATACATTAAGCTGTGTGTGGATTCTTCCAAACTAAAACACGAATACAACATGAAATGGCTGTTGAGTCCTCTGGTTAAACTGTAGTTTTAAACTAGTGAAAGTTGGGTCTCCTGTCTGGTCCTACAATAGAACACAATCTCCTCTCTTCAACCTGAGTTCTGTCATCAGGTACAGTGGGGTTGACGGTCACTCCTACACACACTGTACAGCAAACATCTGGAAGTAGCTCTCCTTCCCTTCCCAGCTCAGCCCATCCATAGTATATGTATCTCCGTAGCACCAGGCTGGGTTAAAACCTCCAGTCAGTCCCCTGCTTCCCTCAGGGTTCTGAATGATTGAAGCCTGTGAACTGGTAGACTTTCCCCACATATGGCTTTCAAATGTCTGTCTGTCTGTATGTCTGTCTGAGCTCCACAGTGTGTGTGTGTGTGTGTGTGTGTGTGTGTGTGTGTGTGTGTGTGTGTGTGTGTGTGTGTGTGTGTGTGTGTGTGTGTGTGTGTGTGTGTGTGTGTGTAAGACTTCCAGCCGTGTACAAAGCGACGTACCACAGTTCTCTCAGGAGTTCACTGTGCCCAACACACACGCAGAAACCCAGGCTAAACCCAGCGAGGGTCCGGGTCACTCCAGGGTTGTGTTACTCGTAACAGGGAGGTTCCTCCCGTCTCCTACCAAGGTAGTTTCCCATAATCACAGATCTACGATCAGATTACTCTATACCCAACCCTAACATTAACCAATGGGGGATGAAAACATATCTGATCCGATATCAGTGGATAGGGACAAAGTGGGCCACAGTACTGAACTGATGCATCTGCACCGTCTCAATGGTCCAGAACAGTCTCAGACAGACACAGAGACACATGGAAATGGCTGATCTCACAGTCTTGACCTAATCACTTGACAGTTTTCTCAGGAAAGAGTAACGTTGGCAGTTTGATTGATTGTTCACAGCCTCATGTGTTTGAAATTCAAGCCTTTTGAAGTTACTGCCATGGTTAGATCACTAGGAGAGATAGTAAGGCTGTGAATGTATTGGCCATAGTGCTTTGTGCCAGAATGGCTGACTGGGTTTAGAATCTCAGCCTAGATGACCCATCATACTGAAACATCTCCATTACACAACCAGAATGACTTTCTCTGGTTTGAAGCTCAAATCAAATATCTGGATAGGACAGACAATTAAAATAAATATTTCATATCAGGGTGGGACAGGGAACAGTCAGGACATTCCTACCAGAGAGCCCGTCAATATAAAAGGAATGTGAAACAAGTGGAAAGCGATTCCTCCTGAAAAATATCCCTCTCTTTTTTCAGCTTAAATCACTCTACAGTTCTCACAGAATGGTTTTGAATTCCTGGGCTCAGGGAAAAAAAAGTGTGTGAATTTAATTTCAGACTTGTGTCTTAAGAAACTTTGAAGCTGTATGTTTCTGTCTTTCAAAATGAAATGGCAGATGCTGGTTTGGAGCTTTTTTCTCATATTGCTGAACTCACACCAACACCTGTACCCACTACCCAGGCCTAGTGAACAGGCCGGTACTACCGCCTAAGACCTAAGAGAGGTCCCCTGGCTGCCAGCTTGTTTCTGCCCTCTTGCCAACTCCTTATGGGATTGACAATGACAATGGAGAAGGAACAAACTCAAACCCATCAGGCGATAAGGGAGGGACTAGAATACAGGGTGTGAGCACCAGTCCTTTAATGGGTGTGGTTTACCTGTTAATGGTTTTACTGGTTAATGGTTGTAATCACTAACGGTTTAACAGGTTTACTAATGGGTTTACAGGTTAATAGATTAAATAGAGAATGGTTTCATTGTGTTGTTTCCAGGTGGGGTTCGTCTGAGGCAGCTGTCAGACAACACTACGTACTTCAGGAGGAAACTGCGAGAGATGGGCTTCATCATCTATGGCAACGATGACTCTCCTGTCGTACCAATGATGCTCTACATGCCCGCCAAGATAGGGTAGGTCTGGTAACGGCTAGTTAGAGATGGTTACCACAACACACCAAGATAGGGTAGGTCTGGTAACGGCTAGTTAGAGATGGTTACCACAACACACCAAGATAGGGTAGGTCTGGTAACAGCTAGTTAGAGATGTTTACCACAACACACCAAGATAGGGTAGGTCTGGTAACAGCTAGTTACAGATGTTTACCACAGCACAAACAACACACCAAGATAGGGTAGGTCTGGTAACAGCTAGTTAGAGATGTTTACCACAACACAAACAACACACCAAGATAGGGTAGGTCTGGTAACGGCTAGTTAGAGATGTTTACCACAACACAAACAACACACCAAGATAGGGTAGGTCTGGTAACAGCTAGTTACAGATGGTTACCACAACACACCAAGATAGGGTAGGTCTGGTAACAGCTAGTTACAGATGGTTACCACAACACACCAAGATAGGGTAGGTCTGGTAACAGCTAGTTAGAGATGGTTACCACAACACACCAAGATAGGGTAGGTCTGGTAACGGCTAGTTAGAGATGTTTACCACAACACACCAAGATAGGGTAGGTCTGGTAACAGCTAGTTACAGATGGTTACCACAACACACCAAGATAGGGTAGGTCTGGTAACGGCTAGTTACAGATGTTTACCACAACACAAACAACACACCAAGATAGGGTAGGTCTGGTGACGGCTAGTTAGAGATGTTTACCACAACACAAACAACACACCAAGATAGGGTAGGTCTGGTAACAGCTAGTTACAGATGGTTACCACAACACACCAAGATAGGGTAGGTCTGGTAACAGCTAGTTACAGATGGTTACCACAACACACCAAGATAGGGTAGGTCTGGTAACAGCTAGTTAGAGATGTTTACCACAACACAAACAACACACCAAGATAGGGTATGTCTGATCAGTCTGCCACGTCACATCTTGGTCAACCCTCACTGTTTTAGTGTAAATAACCGCAGTGAACATGATCAGATTGTTTCTCTTAAATTCACTTTTCTCTGACACGATCAACATGGCATTCCTCAGTCAGTCACAGAATAAACAGATTGTTCACACATTGGTCACATGGTCTCTAAACCCCGCTCTCTGATTGGTTCTCTCTCAGGGCGTTCGGTAGAGAGATGTTGAAGAGGAACATTGGGACGGTGGTGGTTGGCTTCCCGGCCACGCCCATCATAGAGTCCAGGGCCAGGTTCTGTGTGTCTGCCGCCCACACCAGAGATATGTTGGACATGGTGAGTCAACCAATCACAGACCACACAGTCAAAGGACTCCTCCCCCTCTCCATGGCACCATCTCTGTCTGCATCTTACTGGTTATTTTTCAGAAGTGTTCTTCTGTCAGTCTCTCACTCAATAGGGTTTGTGTTCATCACTAGTTATATTCTATTAAACTCTCTGTGGTGTTAGTATAGGAAGGAAGGAGAATAAGCTGCACACCTCAAGTCTCTGTGGTCCTAGAATTAGGTCCAGTCCAATTGATGGGAATGGTTATGGTTGGTTACAATCATATGTCAATGGTTAGAATGTATGGTGAATACTTTATTTATCCTTTGAGACAACAGCATCATCATTTTAATAGCTGAAGGAATCCCTCCACATCTCTTCAAAGCAGTGAGAGTGACTGACTGACACTTTCCCAGTAGTGAGTCAGTCAAGCCTGTCTTCTGACTGTCAGGGCTGATGTGCTGCAGGTATGGACGACAGGAAAGGCATTTCAATATGTGCTTTATTAGAGGGGGTGAGAGGGTTCAGAAAGGATTTTTCTTTGCCTGGCGCAATGGAACCAACAAAATCCTCCCGTAATTGCCAAGGCCACCCATCTGGCACACACAGGCAGGTTTTTTGGAAGAACACATACTATTTGAACCCAGTTGTGGGTGGGAGTGACTTGGAAGGACGACAGCACAGGCCATTACTACGGTTGAGCAGTGAGCTCTGACATAGTTTTATTTAGACATAGTCCAAGGACAGTCCATTCATCTTTTTGATGTGTGTCAACACCGTTTTTAATAGTCCATCACATCAGCTTCACTTGTTGAAATGTATGAAGACACTTTGTCTCTCTCTCCTCTCTTTACTAAATTCAGAGAAGGTATAAAAAATAAAGAAAATAGAAAGTCGAGAAAGGTCGATTGTTTCCAGGTGGGTTGCGGACCGATGGTATTGCAGGACAGATAGCTCAGTTGTGTTTTCTTTGTTCACCCTTACGCAAATGGCCCCCATTTTTCTTCACTAACAATTTCATCAGATGAATTTCAGGGTTCAGCAACCCTCACAATGCTGTAAGAAACATCACCCCCCCCCCCCCCCCCCCCCCCCCCTCCCCCCTTGTAAGCTTGTAATTTCTCCACAGTAAGGGATCTTGCTTCTGAGACCAAATGTAATGGATCCAGCACTCTCTCTTACTGTTGTTGATCTTCATGTTGTGTAGCTTGTCAATTATCCACAGTAAGGGAGAAGTAGCTTCTCTTCATTCCAATTGTTGTTGTTCTAGCTTCTCTCCTCTCTTCCCCAGGCGTTGGAGGCCATCAGTGAGGTAGGGGATGTCTTACAGCTGAAGTACTCCAGACACCAGAAACATCCTCATCTCCCCTCTTCCCAGGGTTCATGGTCCTCTGAGGAGAGTCTGCTCCAGGAGCCCAGCCACGTCAAGCCTTCTGTCATGTAACTAACTGAAACGCCTGCACTAGTGTAAGGTCCAAGTTGCCTCCTAGATGCTGATCTGATCTTGTGTCCGTTTAGCATTTCCCCCACTAATAGTTAAGTTTAGGATTGGGGGAGGGAAAGCTGATTCTAGATCTGAACCTAAGGGAAACTTCACCAGGTCTGAAAAGTCATCATGGTCTCATGGTGTGTGAGCCCCTATGGTTTTCTTACTGTATCTTAACTTATTGTGAATTTATTTTTTTGAGTTTGGACCTAAACGTTAAGTCTTAATTATGTCTGTGTGCTTTATGGAGTCTTCCAGTGCAATCATATCAAGATTACATTTACATTTTAGTCATTTAGAAGACACTCTTATCCAGAGCGACTTACTGGAGCAATTAGGGTTAAGTGCCTTGCTCAAGGGCACATTGACCGATTGATCACTTATTCGGCTCGGGGATTCGAACCAGCGACCTTTCAGTTAATGGCCCAACACTTTTAACCGCTAGGCTACCTGCTGCGGTTGTTAGAAGATCTTTTAAGCTTTTAAGACAGGAGGGAGTAATCAAGGGGTCTGAAACGTGGAAAGTTTTCATATTCAAATATACAGGTTTGGTTATACCAATGGTTGGTTACTGACAGGAGTTATATAACAGACAAGAAAGTAAATAAATAATATCTATCATTCATTACATTAGTAGAGCACTCTCTATATGGGTAAAATACCCCCACCCTACATAAATATAGGGCTTCATATCACATGAGGTACATCAAGTGTCAACTTTTATTTATTTATTATTAACTTAAAGCTTTCCACTCTAATCAGTGTTTTATACTTGAATATTATCACTGGGTCCTTTCTCTAACCAAATCTATGTATTGTATATTATCTACTGTTTATAATGTAAATTAACAGGTGAAATCTTAACTTCTTTGACCTAGCATCGTAGCTAGTCACCAATGACAGAGCTCCTTTCCTAGCTCTCTCTGTAAGCTACATATCACACCTGGCTCATGTTCATTAGGGCACATCTTAGCCAAAACAAGCATTTCTTATTGGACAAGCCCCGCTAGTCCCTCCCCGTTTCAGTTAGTTTTGTGCCTAATGAATACGACGATGCGTTGGGAAAAAGCCCTTTGAAGAGCTGACATTTTGTGAATGTTTTATACAGTATATTGCATCTTATTTTCAATCATTTTTCAGCCTTTAATATTTAGTGTTTACACCTCCACTGGAATAACTTGAGCCCAAATGTCTTCAACATTTTTGAAATGCTCTAGAGTCTTAAACGTATCGATAGCTGAAGATTCTCTAATAATGCTATAAGATTAATTAGAGCTCTAGAGTCCAATGTATTGATAGTTGAAGATTCTCTTAATACTGCTATGGGATGAATCAGAGCCAGGTCGTGTTGTGTGTTTCGTAGGATCGGTTTCCTGGAATAAAAAAAAAATGTATATTTCAATGGAGATTCTTGGCTTCATCTGTGTCCGGGGAAACTGACCCTTACTGAAGAGACATGTCATGTGATGTGAATCTCTAACTGTATATTTTAACCTAAGTGCTTATTATATCATTAACAATCCAGCGCTGATGTCTTCTTACTAAACAATGACACGCTGGGTTGTAATGTAACCTAACTGTCTATCTGTATGTATGACGATGCTGCATCCTAACCATGCTTCTCTGATGTACAGATATGTCCTTATTCGGAAAACACTTCCTATGGATACCCTCTGTAAGGTATTATAAGTGCATCCATAATGCCTTATGAGCTATGTATAATGCATTATAATGCAGAAAGTAGGTTTAATACAGGAAGTGTTACCCCTTTTATTTATTACAAATGCCCTATAGTTTTTCAATCTGCCTTATTTTGTGGAAGATGTTTCTAATATAATATAGTATCTCTTGGTGGCAGCTCTACTTATTTTCCACAGGGGTTCTTCTAAATTCCATTTCAATTGAACCAATTCAGCAAGTCAAATTTCATGGAATTTCAGTTTTGATTTTTTGGGAGGATTTCAGAAAACTATTAGAATTGCAGTTTACCTCCTAAATTGACTTGATTTGTAATGGAATTGATCCCAACCCTGATCCAGAGTAACTATGTACGTGTGTGTGTTAGTAACCAACGACCCGTCTTCAGTATGAATACTACTGACAGGCATTGGAAATGCACAGATGATGTAGACTCACTGAAACCACAGGCTTTACGGCTGGCTAACGACTGCTTGGTTTGAAGGAACCGTCTTTTTGCCGCCGAGTGTCTGTCTCACAATGATTCTTCTTATCTAATATGGCATTCAAGAATTAGCAGATTTGTTTTGGCTGGCTTGTATATTTGTTTTGATTTTTAGTTTATTTTGTGTAAATTATATATTTGATTTTCCATGGGTCAACCTTATGAGTTATTTCAAGTGTAATATTTTCATTTGTCAAATATCCGGTTTGTAGTTAATTTGTGTGAGTGTAGCTGAGGCTAGCACTGTGATCATTCCACCACTACAAGCTCCTTTTTAAACTATCACTGACATTCAAAGTGTCTAGAAGTTGTTCAGGAGTAAAACTGAAACCTTGTTGCTTATACATTGTAGTTGGTTCAAGCTGGGTGGGCCCATGTAGAGTCTCTCTGAGTCCCAAATGGTACCCTATTCCATATAGTGCACTACTTTTAACCAGATCCCTAGTCAAAAGTAGTGCACTATATTGGCAATAGGGCACTATTTGGAATGCCTGCTCTGTATCCTGTTCCCATCTCTATTGAGGCAGGATGTGATTGCTCATATCCAGCAACATGATCTCAGGAAGGTTGTTAAGATTTCAACAACGCAAATAACCTTAACAACAGATGTAATTAATCACTGGCCCATTTTCAAATGAAAAGATTAAAAAGTCCTTTTGATGTAAAATGACATTATTTAACCAGCCATGGGAGAGATTTGGGAACTGACCTACTATGTACGCAACTGCATTAAACCGGTCTGTTATCAGTAGGCTTTTACCCATGGCAAGTTCAATGTTTGGAGATAGTTCGGGTTGAAAGATAAACCATTTGATGAGGTTTTTGAAGCAATGGGGTGTGTTAACCGTGCTGTTGGAAACGGTGCTAAGATTAAATCATTCTTTGTTTGTATCAAGCTCTTGGTTAGATTTGTCTTTGGCAAAGGTCTTATATACATGAACACAATGTGTAATGTCATCTATCGGAAAGTCTTTACAGAATGAAACCATTAAATGACTTACAACTTGTTTGTATCTTAAAGAAGATGTCTCTGATTTATTCTGTTTATTTTTAACTACACACACACACACACACACACACACACAGTGACCTATAAATAAATGTATCTACCACTATGACTAACACCAACATCTGTATTTCTGTGGAAATTGGAATTGATAGAACTTATGATTCCGTGAGATGGTGTGTGCTTGTCCTGCTCATTGTAGAATTGAGGAAATATATGCATCTCATTGAAAAACACCTCTTTCCTGTATGATTCAAGATTTCCAATAACATTTTTTGTCAGTCCCGAAAATGTCTCCAGTCCTTTCTATGTTCTTTCCTATAGCTGTTTATTTTTTCACCTTCTCTGTTCTGTCTTAACATCTGTGGATATTTATCTATTATTCTGAGAACAAATGTGGTCAGTGTCTGTTTAGATGCATTCCACACACAACTCATTTGTAGTCAACTTAGAACTGTAGAACTCACTATAGATGCGCACACATCGATATGGCCAGAAGCCATGCTTTGTTATGATTCGGAATGGTCAGATAGCAACAATGCAAGAAGCTGCCATGTGGGGAATCGTAGGTGGCTCGTTTCAGCTAGTTTTATATTTTTCTCAGACTCGCATCGCATGTGGCAAGGGCTACAGACTATCGCACACTAAAAAGGCAAATCAAGCTGTGCGGTGCCCACCGACGGTTTCCTCCCAGACGAGCTTTACACATTCTATGCTCGCTTCGAGGCAGACAATACCGAGCCATCCAGGAAGACTCGCCGCTCCGGGACGACCAGGTGCTTTCGCTCTCTGAGGCCGACGGTGAGGAAAACTCTCAAAAGAGTGAAGACTCACGAAGCCGCCGACCCCAGATGGCATCCAGAGTGTGTGCTGACCAGCTCGCAGGTGTCTTCTCGGACATCTTCAACTTGTCCCTGTCCCAGGCTGTAGTCCAAATGACTATCGCCCCGTCGTGCTCACCTTGGTCATCATGAGGTGCTTGGAGAGGCTGGTCATGGCCCACATCAAGGCCACCATACCAAGCACACTGGACCCAATCCAATCTGTCCACCGCTCCAATAGATTCATGGATGATGCCATTTTCCATCACTATTCACACTGCTGTAACACATCTGGACAACAGGAACACCTATGTGAAAATGCTGTTCATTGACTACAGTTCAGCATTCAACATTTATTGTTCCTTCCAAGCTCGACACCAAGCTCAGAGCCCTGGGTCTGGACACCTCCCTCTGCAACTGGATCCTGGACTTCCTGACGGACAGAGCACAGGCTGTGAGGATTGGCAACAACACCTCCTCCACACGGACTCTTAACACAGGTGCCCCCCAGGGGTGTGTCCTCAGTCCTCTGCTGTACTCCCTGTTCACCTACGACTGTGTGGCTTTGCACGACATCAAGTTTGCTGACAACACCACGGTTGTCGGCCTGATAACCAACAACGACGAGTCAACCTATAGGGAGGAGGTAAGTGAACTGGCATTGTTGTGTCATGACAACAACCTCTCCCTCAATGTCAACAAAACAAAGGAGTTGATTGTTGACTTCAGGAAGCAGAGGAGGGAACATGCCCCGATCCACATCAATGGGACTGCAGTAGAGAGTCATAAGTTTTAAGTTCCTCGGCATCTACACTTGTCATGCACCAACAACATCACCACTCTTGTCAAGAGGGTACAACAGCATCTCTACTTCCTAAGGCGGCTGAAGAAATTCGGCATGCCGCCCCGGGACCTCTCCATACTACCG